TTGGTTTTTGCTGGCCCACTTTTTTTCAAGCAGCGCGATGTCCAATCTCTCTCCTCGGGCCCTTTTCCTCCTCCTTGTGCTGGTTCTCTGGCGTGGGCCGCGATGGTGCCGTCGCCAGAATCTTGATCTCGGTCTTGCCCTGGGATAAATTCAGGATTGCCCCTCGCGGCCCCCTCGCGCGTCGGCGATCGTGGGGGCGTGCCTTGAAGTCGCCGTGGCTTCGTGGGGTGCCGCCCTGTCGCCTCGAGGCCCAGCATTTGGGCGCGCTCCTGGCTTGATCAGGCTCGCCGCTCCAGAGTCACTTGGCATTCAATTCGTTGTTTCGCCCAGTGATGATTTTGATATCGCTGCGTTGCGTCGTGCGTCCAGCTCTCCCCGGAGACATCGGTTGGAGCTCATGGTGATTGTCTGTCTGTCGGGCCTCCGCCTCCTCCTCCTCATCCTGCTGCTGCTCCTCCTCCTCTTCCCCCCATCCCTCCCCTCCTCCTCCTCCTACTCCTCCTCCTCCTCCTCCCCGTGGCCAGTTTGGCTCGAGCCATTTTGGCTCGAGGTGGCTCGCGGCGGGCGCGGGGGCCCGCGCGCGATGGCCCCTGGCGCCGCCTGTGGGGCGGGCGCGACCGACGGCGGGCGCCGACTGCAGGGGGCGGTCGAGGTCGCCAGCGCGGCGCAGCCACCTGCGCCGACAGCGTTCGCAGGCGCAGGGGCGACTCCAACATCGGCGCGGCGTCGCGCGACTCGCCGTGCATCGCGGCAGCGCGCCACCGAAGCGCGCGGCAGCAGGGGCGCAGGCGGGGCGCGGGCGCGCGCCTCGCCTTTTGGCGTGCCAGCGCTGCGGCTGCCGCAAGAACGAGGAGTGGTGGACCTGGCGCGGCCACTGCAAGAAGCCGCTGGCCCTCGTCCAGGCTCGCCCTACTGGCGGTGGCGGCGGCGGCGCGCATGGCGACCGGAGACGCCCGCCGAGCCGCGACCGTGACGGCGGCCTTGGCTGCCCGCCCTGGCGCGAGGCGAC